AAATCGAGATTAGAATCCATCATACTATCAGCCTAGACTGGGTGGGAAAAGCCTAAAAGACCTTTTTTTTCTTCCAGAAGTGTAATGAGGAACTCATTCGAAATAGTGCGACATCATTTGAAAGCACAACATACAGAATGCTATTACCTTTGCATTTCAAGGCAAGTTTTCCAAATTTTATCCTCTTGTTACACTGTAGAGATAAAAATGGAGATCATTATGATAGTTCTCACATTTTAGTTTAGTTGGCACAGAACTACAATAAGTCAATGGACAAAGAGATTTATACTTCACAGTTATTCTATACACTCACTGGTTGACAAGACTCTGGTCTAATCACAGTCTTGGAGCAGAGTGCATGTTTCTGAAATAGAATAAAAAGTCATCAGAACTAATGACTTATTGATTTTCTAAGATCACTTCACAGACGTGAAGTATATATGAAATAATTCATATTTGAACTGCAGTTGTAGATGAAAGTGAAGAATGATCATCGCAGTAAATTTTCCAATCTAAGCAATTGGAAAGAAGAAGCCTGAAAAAAATCAGGGCTTCAATGGGATTCAAACCAGTTGCTTAAATTGGAAAATTTACTGTGATGATCATTCTTCACTTTCATCTAAAACCGCAGTTCAAATATGAATTATTTCATATATACTTCACATCATGCCACTCCTCACGGGAAGATATGAACTCAATTAACTGACCTCACTCCCAATGTGTGACTTCATAGCTCAGTTGGTAGAGCATGGCACTGGTATTGCGGAGGTCACGGGTTTGAATCTCATTGAGGCCCTGACTTTTTTTTCAGGCGTCTTCTTTCCAATTGCTTAAATTGGAAAAGTTACTGCGATGAACATTCTTCACCTTCATCACTTCACAGATTTACACTAACACAACACAATACTGACAAAATTTTGTTCATGTTTCACCACTTGCCAGCAGAGCCCCACTTAATTTTTCAGATGACTTACTTTGTCTTTTTTAGCTGGCCCTTTTCCGCTTTGTGAAGCAATTCTGAAACAAAAGAAAATTTTTTAAAAAATGGTTAAACTGTATTAGTAATCACTGTTATCCAATGTTCACTATCATATGAAGACCCTACAATGGTAGTAGTACCTACTCTCATTAACTTTTGGAAGGTAAAGTCTGTGTTCGAGCCTAGTGGCCCATCGACTAGGCCAGTGTAGCTTATCCCCAGTTTCTGTATCGCGAAGTGACTAGGAATATTTCTACCCATCCTGGACTGGAGGCTAGTCACTAGTTTAACGCCACCAATAAATTTGCTGGCACCCATTTGTGTACCTAGGTGGAGAGAGGCACTGTGAGAGTAAAGTGTTCTGCCAAGAACACAACACAGTGGCCCCAGTTGAGGCTCCAATGCAAGCCACTTAGTCCTGAGTCCAGTGCACGAACCTTCAGGCCACTGCTACACAGCACCTCTGAGGTGAGAGGACAGTGGCTGAATGGCTGGTGTGACAAACTTTCCATAAAACAGTCCTATCTGAGGACTAGCGGATTCTGCTCATCACTTGTCCATCGGCAAGTGAAGTTTCTTGCCAGAGCCAAGCACACAGNGTACTCAAAATAACACTGGCTTGCTATAAAATTGTAATCACTTGTTGTGTAAATTAACGATCAAAGGTGTTAATAGAACAGTTAAACTTACATCAAGCTCTGGCCCTGATGGTCGAGGCTGAAATTACACAAAGAAACACTCTCTTTCAAAATTATTAGGATCACTATGCCAGATAAATTAAAAACATTGCAGTTGAACCCCTCAAATTGTAAAACAGCCACTCCTGGGTTGAGTTATTGGCTGTGGCAAGGACAGATTTCAGTCAGTCATGACAAAGAATACTGGTCCCTGTAGAGAGGGAGCTGTTTTTAAAGAATTGGGCATTAGTTGAGGCTTGTCTACAGATTATTAATGGAAATATGGAATAGAGAAGACACTTTAGATATCCAAAGAGAGATAAGTTAATATTATAAAGAGCAGAGATAATCCTAAGTCACATTAGAAAATCGGAAAATTATGTATAATAAGCCATGTTATCTCTACCATTAAAGATCAGTATCCTAACGACAGTCAGCGACCTTTAAAGAAAATCCCAATACAATGATTCAGTTACCTTTCTAATAGGTTTCCTGGGATGAGACACNTAGGGAGGGAGCTGTTTTTAAAGAATTGGACATTAGTTGAGGCTTGTCTGCAGATTATTAATAGAAATATGGGATAGCGAAGACACTTTAGATATCCAGAGAGAGATAAGTTAATATTATAAAGAGCTGAGCTAATCCTAAGTCACATTAGAAAAAGGGAAAATTATGTTAATAAGCCATGTTGTCTCTACCATTAAAGATCAGTACCCTAATGACAGTCGGCGACCTTTAAAGAAAATCCCAATACAATGATTCAGTTACCTTTCTAATAGGTTTCCTGGGATGAGACACATCCTAAAAAGAAACGTAAATGAATGTAAACAACAACAACAATAGGATGATGGTGAATATCTTCCTTGCACATTTGACTGTTATACTATTAACACTGATCAATCAAGGTAAAATCAAACAACCTTGCAGATCAAGTTTCATTTAACTAGCCTTGAATACTCTCAGGCTACTGGTCTGGAGAAACCTTTTGAATTGTCAGGAGGGATTTGTAATTATCAAAAGGGACAAATAAATCAAAATAACAACAAGATCTTTACCAAGTCTTCTTCTGTGTTATCATAACTGATGTCCGAGGGAGATAATATGGAACCAGTTGATTCATCTTGAACACTAAAACGCCTAACAAGGTAATGGTAAATACAGACATTTATCCAACTTCATTTTTATTGATTAAATTAGATGCAGCTGCCAGCTAATGGTTAGTGTTCTATCCTGGAGTTCCTATTCAGCAGCCCAGATCCAAGTCCTGACCTGGCCTCTGTGCTCCAGAGTATACCCTGTAAATGGGCAACAGCAATTTGCTGGCCAGGGGACACTTAACAATGCAGTATGGGGGGAGGGGGGAGTAAACTGCAATGAGTGAGTGTCCCATTCAGGGGGAGTAGCAATAACACCGGTCACTTCACTTTTCCAGACCCAAAACAACAAGAATAATGGCAACAACATCTCCCCATTTTATAGAGCTAAGCAATTGTTGCATCCTCAGTGGATCTCATCACAATGCACCATAAATACATAATTTAATAATGTTAGGGAGGTAGGGTGGAGATAAATGTACCCATGGGCTTTGGAAAAATTCACATGAAGTTCACCTACAGCTTATTGCACCAAGTGATTCCTTAAGTACTTGTTGCTCTTGCAAAAAAAAATAAAAAAAATAAAAAAATAAAAAATTGAGCCTTTTTTTTGATACCTTTAGCAGGTCTGGAAAAGCAAGATTTGCAGATTTTCATGATCTTTCAAGAATTCCAGGCTTTGACGCCATGAAAACAATTGCCTCAGTTGCAAAAAAGCAATCAAGAGACATAAACCCATTTTAAGAATGGACAGATGCAGATCACAATTATTATACCTTTTCCTAGGGCTAGTCATGTCCTCGTGGTGACACTGGCTCAACTGCATCAGTGTCTGTCTCTCATTGTCATTCAACCTGCTCATTGTGTCCTTGTCATTCAAAAGTTCGCGGATCAGTGCGACTTGCCTTTCCTATAAGATTTGGGGAACAATAATGTACTTATAATGTGTATATTTAAAAATTTCTTACCTGTTAATTTTTTTTTAGGTTACATCAGACTCAGGTACTAAATATCTCGCCTTATGCTAGAACCAAAACTGTGACAATAACGTTCATGAAAATATTGAGGGACTGGATGAAACATACTACAATTTATAAGAGTGGCCTGGCTAAAAATGTTATAAAAACACAAGCTTTGGATTGCCTAAACTGCAGTTTTATATTTTTTGCCAGAGAAAGTTTCAATTTTTTTAAATGATTGCTCAGTAACTTCCTCCAGTGTTCCAATCCTGTAATTGACTCGATGAGGAAAGAGACAAACATGTGACATTTTCATTCATACTTTATACGTTCTTACCAAGTGATCTTGAGCTGCTTCTGCTTTCATTCTTTTCTTGATTTCTATGTCAACTTGACTCCTGAAAAGATAACGGTAGACAAGACAAAACTGTGTACTAAAAGAAAGTTACGGAATCAAAGTTCAGGTGAAGGAGGCAGCACAAGTTGTCATTTTCATCTACGCATCATCCATGATCTACGTACCTCGCATGCTTCAGTTTTACTTCAAGCGCTTCATTTTCAGCCTGTGAGAGAATGGATAAATATTGTAAAGAAATAGAGTTACTTGAAAGAAGCTATAGTACTGTGGACATGTGAAAACGATAAAGTGTTTTGTTAAGCTTCTATGCAATGTCAAGGGAGATTGACAACTTTGAACGTGAAACCGTACCGTGATTTTCGCGATGTCTTGTTTCAATCGAACAGCTTCATTCTCTGCAGCGAGCCATTTCTTCCGGCATTCTTCTTGTTGTGATACGAATTTGATAAATTCTAGGAAGGAAAAGGAATTGAAATGAATCACTTTAGGCTTACTTGTAACCAAGAATTTTGACATGCAACGAACAACGAATCCCAACACAAACCTCCTTCAATTCCTTCGGCGAGAACCGATGCGGAGCGAACGACATCGTCAAAAGATCCAACAAGTGTTGCAACAGACATGATTGATTCTTTCAGGAACTTGAATGGCGTAAATGCGTAATATCCTTAGCTAAATCCAAACGAAAAACTGCTCGAGAAGAAACCTCCTTCACCGCTCGGCCATCTTGTTCGTTTTTTCCCTCCACTTCTTTCAAACACAACGTCAGCCAATCAAATCACGCCTTTTATAGAGCTCACGTGATTTTTTTGGTGACTCCACAGGACAAAGATCACAGGCTCAAACTGTTTGCACCGGAAGGGAGTTGAAACTATAGTTCATCCGTAGAAAAAATTTCCATGGGAACCATAGGCATAAAAACTTTACAATTCACTTAATTTGTTTAGCACGTTTGCTGACCCTGAATTTCGACTGGTACTATGAACTGAAGTTCACAAAACTCCCAAGTACGAAGAAAGATATTAAAAGATTTTGCAAAGAAGACAGCCATTGGAAACACTTCGGGTTCTTTCAGTAATGGAGAACTTCGGTTTCGGCAATCTTCCGACTGATCTATCGATGTTCCGATGTCACCCCTTACTAGTAAGGAGTATGTCTACCCTTATGTCTGTCCTTAAATGGTATCAAATGCGTTGTCCCTTGCAGGGTTCTCAGCAGAAGCTAGCAGCCGTCGGAATTCCACCGGCTGTGAAGACGAAAATAGCCGTCTGTTCCGGTCATCAAAAATTTCCACATATATCCATATCAATAAATTTTACATTAGTTTATTTGGTCTATTCCGCTGATACATGTTATGCTCATGAACAACTCCTTTTCCGTAAGTTAATACAACACAACCCCCAGCAATGAAATCGCCTAATTTTACAATTTTACCGGTAGTGGGTGGGGCTCCCCTCCGGGTCTCGCTTTTCGCCGCCTGTTATACTGTATTAGCCTGTGTGAAAAATTACACGGTCAACCCTAGCCTGGTCGATTGACTGGAGGAATTAAAATGTACGGAAACATAATCCAAGAAAATAAGTATAGTTTAAAAAATTAAAAAGAAAGAATTGGCCTTAGAAAAACTGCAAATGCATACATTAGATTGATCAAGTTCACGAACGAATTTATTGTTAAATATTCTCGAATAAAAGTCATATATTTTTAAACGAACCATGCACTTAAATTAAAACTCATTATTATAGTTATTTCTTATCTCTTTTATACTTGCTATTTAACCATCACACAGTTTTCAACTGTATTACAATTACACCAAAAGTGTCAAAAAAAGTCAACTCTCCTCATACAATCGAATATCAATATTTCACAAACAATAACAACAAGTTGGCTGGTTTCTAAATGACCCAACTTCATTAAATTACTTTGAAAACAAATTCGCAAACAGCGCAAGAATCAAACTTGAATACAAAAGGACGGCTTTATGCGGCCAAAGGTTAAAGTGCCTATGAAATGAAAAAAATAATTGCTGCTTATAGTTTAAAAGGAACTTATGACGTCATCACTTTCCTAATTTGCATAATTCAAAGACGTCACACCATCGATCGACTCGCAGGAAGTCTAGGCTTAGAGTATATAGAAGTATGTGAAAGAACGGTCTCAGAGAGGAGAAATTACGGTGGCAGTTATGACTGGTGCTTTAAGTAAAAAAAAAAAACCAAACAAAAACAAAGCATTCTTCCCTAAGAACGTATTGACTTTCACTTTAAGACTATAAGAAGCTTTCTTCTCTAAATCAAAGCAAACTTTCTTAAGGGTGGAAGGGAGACGCGACTGACAGAGAATGGAAGCAGAGCAACTAATGGGGTCGTACAAAACTGCTGACTACACATTCTTCTTGTGTTTATTATTGTTCTTGTTCGTCATCTGAATCTTCAGATTCCTGTGATGGAGGGGTGCAGTTGTTTGTTCTCAAAGCTTTTAGTGAAGGACAACCTGCAAATAGAATATATTAAACAAACGCGCTAATCGAAACACACAACGGTAAACATGTTTAACAAAACACTTCTTGCAGTACAAACGCGCAAGCTTGGGCAGAAATAGCCCTTGATACATAAATTACGCAAATAAGTCTGTAATAACGTATTAGATGTTATCACGATGTTAACTACATTTTCCCGGTTTCTCTATTACTAAGCTACAGGGAGTATTTCTACTCCTCCCCAGATAGGA